AACAAGGGAAACCATTATTATGAGATTTGTTTAGGAGGGTGACAAAATGATTTAAAATTTTCCTCTTTGGAATCAGAGTGCTTGGGCAATACTTCTTGTTCTATCCATTGTTGCCTTTGCAATATTGAACAAGTTGATTATTTGGTGCTTACAAATTTGCATCCAAATGTAGTGCAAAACTACTCCCTTTCTGGATGATTTTTAGGAGAGCTGAAAAACATATTACAACATATACAACACACTCGGTAATATTTTTAGCAGTACCTCTGTATCCTGAGGTATATCTGACCCTTCTAAGACTCAGTTATTACACTGTAAAATGGGGACTAATGAAACTGTTTATCTCTTAGAGGTGAGATGAGAGATACTTTACAGAAGGCATTTAGCTCCAGGGCTCAAGGAATGTTATCAATTACTACTAGTAATGCTATTTTTAACTGTATCTCAAGAACTATAACTACCTGATAGGATTATAAAATCAATTTACCTGTGCTTTGTGCAAATGGAAGACAGAATGAATCTTCTAATTGCTGTGAGAGAAGTCAATGACATTTTAGAAAGAGCTCTTATATTCTTGTGTCTGTACACTTGAGAGAATGGGGAACACAAGGGGCACTTTTTAAATGGCATCAAAATAGAAATCATTTGGAATGGACTTTTAAGGAAAAGGAAACCTGGATTTTCAGGGACACAGAATAGCACCCTCAAACTATTGAATCTTAAACCATGGAGAGGTAGACTGGACTTATGAGAGGCTTTCAGTGATGAAGAGAAGCTGTTGTAAAGAAAAGTTTTTAAATTAAAAGATGAATAGAAGTCAGCTATAGATGAACAATGTCCTTTGACTGAAAAGTGTTGAAAACACAGTGATCTCAAAGAATGAGATAAGTGTTTTTTGAAGTGTGTACCTGGCCACCAAATTGTTAGATAAGATTGGCAGTTCAAAACCAGCAGCTGCTCCCTGGGAGAAAGATGAAGCTGCCTGCAATTCTTTATAGATTTAAAGCTTCAGAAACCTAATATGGGGTCACTGTGAACTGGAATAAAGTATATAGTAACGTTTTTGTTGTTGTTATCTTCATTGTCTCTGGGAATTCTGATTAGTAAGGAATTGAGTTGGTAAACACAGAAACCTCAGGATCGAATCGTGACTCTGTCACTCGCTAGCAATGTGACTTGAACAAACTATTGATACTCTGAGACTTTTCAAGTATTAAGACCCCGTGCATTTCAGACATACCAAGAGATAATGTCTGCGTCATGCTTTGTAGGCCCTGGGCATAAAGGAGAACAAACTTCTCCCTCTCTGATGAATGACTCAGAGTAAATACTTAGAATGACATCTCTCTTTATCTGTAAAGTTTCTTGTAACAACAAAGGAGTGTGTATGCAGAACTTGACCTTGGCTCTATAGCCTTTTATCGTATGGTTATGGTAATAGGGTACAGGAAAGGGATGTTTGTTTTCTATATATATCTAATTATTCCTAGGGATGTTTATATCATTCCTAGGCTTGTCCACACCTCTTTGCTAAACAAGCCTCAGGAGACAGCAAAGAGTTCTCTTCCCCCAAATAAAATCATGATAAAGCCAAACCAAGCGGGAGCACCTCCTAGGCAGCATATTTTTGTGCAAAGCTGTCTTGTTCTAGGGTGGGGTGGTCCCTTGAGGGAGACCTCATTAACATCCAGGGCATTTGGAAGAAAACTCGGAAAGAGAAGACCCACAGTTAGGAGAAAATATCTTGAGGGAGAAATGCCATCAGAGAGAAAGAAATACAGGAACTTTCACCTCTTGGCTTTGGCTGAGGCTGGTTTCTTAGGAAACGGTCAAACCACCTTAGCAACTCCTTGGAGCAACCTTCACAATGTCTGTAGATGAGATGAGGCGGAAGCCAGTGTGAAGGGAAGGGAGAACAGACGTTCAAATCATCCAAAGCAGGAAAATCTCTGAATTTGACCAGGGAAAGAAGAACCTTGGAAGGGAATTTGAAACAACGAGGAATCGTTTGAAATGAAACATTAGTATGAGAATGAAAACATTAGTAGGAGTTAAGCAGAATCTCTTTTTCTGTCCTAGAGGCCACCCCAACAAAGAGGCATGCATTTGTTTTTCTCCTGGATGTAATATAACCTCTACTGAATAATGTTCCCAATGTCCGGGCCTCACCTCTGAGTCAAGCTTGGATTCACTCTCTTTCATCCTTTGGCCACAAAATTCCCTGAACACCTGGATCACGCAAGCAAAAGCACTTCATTTTAGCCATCAATAACAACCCAAAACCAAACTCCCTGCCGTGAGTCCACGCTGATTCTTAGTGACTCCCTGGGGTTTCCGAGATGGTAACTGTTTACAGGAGGAGACAGCCTTGCCTTGCTTCCTTAGAGCTGCTGGTGGTTTTGAACTGCTGACCGTGTGGATTGTGGCCTAACACATAACCACTATGCACCAGGGCTCCTTAGGGATTGATAATTAATTATAACTGGGTTCTTCTCCTTCTTTACCTTCTTTATACTATTTCTCTTTTGGGCCACGAGACTAGTGAACATTAAAGAGATAGGTTTCTTTGTTTTTTTATGTCTTTAAGAGGTGTGCTCTTACAAAGCAGCTGGAGAAATTGTATCCGTGTCTGTATTAGTTCCACGGAAGCCATTCTGATTCATGGACACCCATGCACAGATGTTAGAACTGTACTCCATAGGGGTCAGTGGCTGAATTTTCAGAAATAAATGGTCATGTCTTTCTTCTGAGGTGCCTGTGGGCAGATTCAAACAGGTAAGCATATTAACGGTTCTTTATAACAGACATCTTGGTTTATTTATTTTTCCAACATTAATTGAGCTCTTGTGTTTCAGCCAAAGGCTTCTGTTCTAGGATAAAGTAGCAATTAAACAAACACATGATTCTTTTAAAGAAGGGACAAGAGATACAAATCAAAAGAAGCAAATCACAGATGTAATGTAGTCGATGGTCAGTGCAACGGAGAAAAAGCCACTGTGGACAGTGGGGTCCCAGAAACACTGTGTCTGCGGACATCATACACTGGGTAACTTTGAAGGAGACATGCAGACTTTAGAAAAACATAGGGTTTGTGGAAAAGAGGCCTAACTTCAGCTATATTCTGCCTGTTTCCATTCCTTTACATGTTGTGAAATGTCCCAAGGGTCAACCCATGGAAAGGAAAATTCGAACTACAATAATCAGCTAATCGGAGCAAATGAGGGAAAGCAATTCTCTTTCAGAATACAAACTCTCATACATTTAGTGTATAGAAAATAATATGGCTTGGCCATGTGTTTAGCTGAGTCTGCCCTCTGCTGACAGAACAGATGGCTAAAAACAATTGATATTAAAAGTCAAAGTATAAACTTTCATTTTAGAGAATTCTCTGTCTTTTTAAAATGTACACACGTTGTTGTTGTTGTGTGCCATAGAGTCAGCTGAAACCCCTAGAAACCCTGTGCCAAACAAAGCACTGCACAGTCCTGCGTCATCCTCACCGTTATTCCCACGCCTGAGCCCAGTGACGCAGCTGCTGGGTCAATCCAGAGCTTAGGGAATGTGCATTGCGAAGTTCGGTTCCCTGGCTGTTCCGACAGGGGAACTTCCAATTTCTGAACCCTCATAATTTGTCAGGGTTCAATTTGATAAGCCGAGCTCACTCGCGCATGCTCTGTCTCTGTCTCTCTCTAACGCGCACACGCGCGCGCACACACACAGGCAATGCTTTAAGCCACACGTTAATTAAAGCACAGAGTCACTTTAAAAGAAATGAAGCAATCCCCCTGGAAAGGTGAGAGGGCACCCCTTGACAGTAGTTGAGATACTCTTCGCTTGCGGGTCACCCCTCGAGAGTGGAGGTGAGGGCTTTGTCCAGGGGAATACTTCCAGTTTTTATACGACACTTTCAAATGGGAGAGGATTGCCACTCTGCAGATGGTCAAGCAGCTTTCTCCTTAGTTAGCTAGTTCATCCTTACATCTCATCCATCTTTTCTTTCTGTTTTTTTCTGGGCTGCTGTTCTGGTCAGTGTGTTTCAGAATGATCTTCCAGGACAGTCCTGGATCAGAATTTGCTGGGGCCTGGCTTCAAGGTGAAGGTGTTTACCACGCCCGTCCTCATAGACCCCTTTGCTCATCACTTGTTTCACAGGGTCCTTTGTTCATCCCCTAAGCAGACAGGCAGACGCTGCTCTGTCCCTGTTATTAGTCTTTCTCAATTTAAGTACTCATCCACTTACTCATTTGAATATTTATTCTTCCTTTGTATATCAGGCGCTGTTTACAGTGCTGGCAATACTGTGGTGAACAAGATTGACCAGCCCATTACCTTTATGGAATATATATTCTGTGAAGAGGAGACAGATAAAAACCAAACAAATAAAAGCCATGTAAATATCACCAAATGAAATTTAAAATCAAACGCATAAGAAGGTGATATGCTATAAAGGGACTCATCACCTCACCCAGGCATGCGCATTGAAGATGGGAACTGAGTAACAGGAAGTAGCCCTCCAATAGTTGATGGGTGAATTAAGGAGTGCAGAGAGTACAAAGGTGCTAAGCCAGATAAAGACAAAACGGAAATTCACTATAAGCAGGGCATTTATCTGAGAAGAGACAGAAACTGGTCAGAAGTTTGATTGGGAGCAGGGTCTTACAGTATTTAGACTATGTACAACTGTGGAGTTACCCATTTCTATCTTGTCAATTCTCACTTACAGCACATCTCTAATTTTGACAAAAATAAGGTTTTGCGAGCAATCATATAAAGATAATAATGTATAACTTGACACAGAGCAAAATTGGACTTAGAGAATAGTAGGCACGGGTGGTATAAAAAACCACACACAAAAAGGAGGAATCAAGTTATATGAGAGAGAACTTGGCATTGAGCAGATGACAGAGGGGAAGTTCGTTTTCCACTGTACACTTTGTTTCTGTGTAAAACCAACTGCTCTACCTGCTGCTGCTAACCTAGATTTCTCTTATTCCTTGCAGATCACAAGGCTCCTTCTTCCACCTGGCGACCCATGGCCCTGACTCTGCTGGCTTTGTGTTTGGTGCTCTTGACTGGCCTGGCAGCCCTTGGGATTGTGTGTAAGTTGGGCTCTGATTTAGGGCATGATCCTGAGATCACCCCTTGTAATGGATTGTTTTTATTTTAAGTCCTGGAGCCTGGGGACAATTTGATGCAACTGATTCAAATGGTACTGATTTAAGCAATGATTCAAGTCCTGGAATAAATATTGAACTGCAGTGGTCCCTAGACAAGTAGGCCCGTACATCCTATTTTGAGTTAAGAATGTTTGTGTATGTCTGTTCACACATATTTAAATCAAAAATAGTTTTAGTGAAACCATGGCTTCACCTTCTTCCCTATCACCAAAGAGCGGGACTGTTGTAGGATTTACTCTCCTTATCATAGCTCAGTGGGCTAGCGCCATGAGACAAAGTTTTACTTAGACACCATCCAGTCAGTATAAGGCAACCGTTCTCAGCCTGTGGGTTGCGACCCCTTTGGGGTCGAACAACCCTTCACAAGGGTCACCTGATTCATAACAGTAGCAAAAGTACAGTTATGAAGTAGCAATGAACATACTTTTATGGTTGGGGAGTCACCACAACCTGAGGAACTGTAAGAAAGGGCTGCGGCTTGCGGAAGGTGGAGAAGCACTGGTTGAAGAGAAGGCGGCCTGGTGGCACAGGGGATGGCTAACCACCAGGTCAGCCAGGAAGCATGCTGGGACCTAAATCACTAAGCTGTTTGCTCAAAAGGCCTGGAAGTTTACAGACTCATTTAAGCAGGAAACTTCGGAAAATAAGAAAATTAAGATGGTAAAGGCCAGTGCAGAAATTTTTACATTTCACACTAGCAAAGGCAAGGTTTGCCTCATCAGATTGAGTCCCAACATCAGTGTTTCCTAAACAGTTGAAGAGAATGATTCAGGAAAATAAATCCTAGAAAGTGTTTTTGTTTTTTTCCCTTTGGGAAAAAATGTGCTTTTTAAATGGAGAAATTTGAGGTGTGCAGGAAAAGTGTACCCCAATGTCCAGGGTGTTCATCTACCTTTACTCCTTTCTCCGCTGTTGCTCTTATTATGAACATCTGTGTTCCCGTGGTACCTTTTTTACAGTGGATGCACCAATATTGATACATTGTTAACTAAGGTGCATAGTTTACATTAAGTATCCTTTGTGGGTGTGCTTGTACCCTCCTATGGGTTTTGACAAATGTATGTCATATATCCATGATGGTTGCATGTCGATTACTTTCACTGGTCTTAAAATAGTTTATGCTGCACCTATTCATCATTTCTCCCCTGTCCTTGACCTTTGGAAGCCACTGCTCTTTGTCTTTTACAGAAAGTCATATAGTGGAAATCATACAGTATGCATCTTCTTTGAACTAGTATTTTAAAAAAATCTATCAATATGCAAAAATTATTTCTCCCTTATCTTTTTATAGTTTTCTCATTTCTCTTTATCAATGAATAATACTCTATTGTGTGATGCACTACTCTTTGTTTATTCTTTGCTGTGAAATTAATGTATCTTCTGCAACTTTCTTCTATTTAGTATTGCTATTTGCTTCCCCATCTCGCAAATTTTAGAGCTTTTGCTGTTGTATCTTATATTTTAATATTTAAAAATAAATACATCTATACTTACATCTACATCAGTTTCTTGTTGTTTTTCTTTCAAACCCTTTATTTTCTTTAATTAATTTTGACATTATTAGCTATTGCTTTACAACCAGTATTTTATCTTTTTAAAGAAATATAATGATATATAAGTTTGTGAGTTCAGCCTGAGTAATTATTTGAGAATTTACATAAAATATTTATTAAGCAGTAACATTATCTACAAATTTACTCCTGAAATCGATTCTACTATTATGACTCTGCATTTTCAGGTAAGAAACTAGATTTAGAAAAGTTAATTTGCTTCAAGTCATACAATTTATTATGTACTAGCACCCAGATTTGAATCTAGGCAATCTGAGATCCTGGAGCCTGAAATCTTAAGCAATATGCTATTTGTCTTCTCCATATGTAGAAAAAGACAGATTTATGACACATAAGCTGCCAGTCTGACTTGGTGACTTGGATTAGTTTTTCAGTTCTATCAGCTGTCCATTACTCAGCAAGACAGCATCTCTCAGAAGGAAGAAAGATTGGGGAATCTTTCCCAACAGTTGCAATCTCTTCAAACTAAGAACCGGAAGCTTGCAGAAACGGTGCAGCGTGTGGCTGAAAAACTCTGCCGTGAGCTTTATAACAAAACTGGAGGTACGTCGGCCAGGGTCACCAAGTCTTACCTTTGGCCTCACAATATTCGTCAACGGAGGGTGAAAAATGTTATCAGTGTATATGGAGAAACATGCATTTTATTCCTTTTTCTTATTTTTTTAAAATACTTTTATTGGGGGCTCTTACATCTCTTATCACAATCCATACATTCATCCAGTATGTCAAGCACATTTGCACATATGCCGCCATC